TATGTAGTGCTTTATTGATACTTTAATATATAAGGCAGGAAAAAACAATAACTCCTGCATGGAGTACAGCAATTCAAATCAGTATAATATGTGACCCTTCACAGCTTAAAAAAAAAAAAAGAAAAGACAGCTAAAGAAATATAGAATACCAGTAAAGATTTGCTTCAAGATCATGAAGTCTTTGTTTCTTAGTTGTTTATGTTGACTTAAATACTTAGAGAAGTCCAAGTTACTGTTTCAGAATGATCTTAGTGATAACAGCTGGTGCCTGGGCAATAGGGAGCAATTTATCATTCACAAGTAAGATGTGAATTTTGCCGCTGTTGCTCGTGCTGTTGTTGGAATCTTCATAGCCAAATTTAGCATCATTTACCTCGACCGTCCCACAGCTTTTCTAAGCCAGCCTGCCAGTGAGGAAAAGGAAATGCTTTCACTTTAGAGCCTTTCAAAGTCTGGACAAAAGCTCACTTTCTGTTCTTCAGGTTTCCTATATATGGCTTTAGCCTCGAGATGGGGACCTGCTTGCTATGCACCCTCTCCCATCCCCCATTTCCTGCCTGGGTTCATTAAATGCTGAAGTTGGCACAGTTCTGATACAAAAGTAGTACTGTGTTCCAGGAACCATCAGAAAGTAGTGCATTATTATCTTTTACATTCCCTTCATATATATGTACTCTCCGTATGCGTAGAAAGTATTTTTATCCCTTCTTCTTAAATATCTCTGTGTATTTAATAAAAAGAGACAGTGAAGCAAAGCCCTGTCAAAAAAAAAAAAAAAAACCAGCTCATTTGGTGGCAGTCTTGCCTCAGGCAAGATACTAGCTTTAATGCTAGTATCTGTAAATCGCTAATATTAAGCAAAATGGAGTATAGGACATAATGACTTCACCAAATCATTTTCCTATATGTCACGCTTGTGTTTCATTATGTTGTTTCTCAGGAGAGAACAGTTTTCTTTCACCTGATCAATGATGGTTGCAGTGATGAAATTAACATATACCTCTATAGAAGCCTGTATATTTTCCTTTTTTAACAGTACAGTTACTTACTCTTTATTGCTATATGAAGCTGCCATAAAAGATGAAAAATATCTTTGAGAAGCTGTCTGTGATCTTCACCTCAAACCAGTTTTCAATTCTGTAGAGATAATTACGAGTCATGCCAAGCAGTTAGGTAACCAATCCCTGGGTTGCCTGTGATATCTTCTGTTGTTGTTTAAGCTAATACTTTCTGTATCTTTCATACCTGTTTCTCTGTTACAGTCATTTAAAGAGTAATACCAGTTCATTACTACCAACACTAAAAAGAGAATGTCAGGTAGTAGCAATGAGACTGAACAAGCCACATTAGTGCAACATCTCATTATTTTAAATTATGTTGCACAGTTACATAAACAAAGTAATTTTCAGGCTAGTCTTTCCTGAAGTCCACTCGAGTTAATTGCTTGAATGGGTATCAACTGATTCACATAGAGATCAATGGCATGGGCTTTGATGGCCTTCAGAGAAAATAGCTGTGTCTTTCTGTTTTCTTGGTAACAAGACACTCTTAAATAATGTATTTTTTCCAAGTGCGAACTGATTATTAGTTGTTCAAGAGTGCTAAATGTAGTAGAAGTGCAAAGATTTGTGGAGCAAAGAGGCTAGGCAAATAGCGACCAATTAGGCCAGTATCAGATCTATACTGGTTCTTAGCAGTACTTTAGATGAATAGCCCAACCTGCCAGCCTACTGCTGCTGCAGTCCTGTTTTCCTCATCTGACACACTCCCAGCCACATGCTTGTTTTCTCTTGTCACTGGCTTTCTGGCCCCTTGGTCAGAGGATTCAGCCCACTATAGTTGCAGGAATCTAACACAACAAACCCCACCTTATCGAGCACCTCCAGTGCTTCAGAGAGGCCCCGTTTCCTCAGGAAGGTGAGATACAGGACATATCCTGTATGGGGTGGAATTAATCTAGTTTTGAGTCCTGGACCCCAGTGGGATGCTGGCTGTACAGAAAGTTAGCCATGTGCATTAATTATCTTGCTGAGTTAGTGTCTTGGTTTATGGTTGAACCACTGCATAAATAGACTGCATGAAGATCTTTTCTAAGATTTTGTGGTATTAATGGAGCAAAAAAAGGTTAATTCTCAGGGGCTTGTATCTGCATGAGGGAGCTACACTGCAGCCAGCCAGCGAGTAAAGCTTTAGCCTCAGAAGTTATTTGGCACTGGCTCCCTATGTGACACTTCCACATAGAGAATGCCTTTGGGTGATGAACATAGTCAGCCCTGGCAGTGGATTAATTAAAATGAGCAAAGCTGCTAATACTGTACAGCAGAAATACTTAGAGGGATGGCTAATGCAGAACAGTTATTTTGAGCATTATCGCTCCATAGACCACTTCTAAGAACCACTAGTTAAAGTATTGAACCTAATGCTCATTTCAAACTTAAGGCAGATCAATTATCATAATTCTTCACCATTTACCACTAAGGCTTTCCTAGTGCCTTACAAATGCTAGAGGAACAGTTTAATTAAAAAAAAAAAAAAGTTAGAAAAATTTGTTTTCACTTTTTGCTCACTATTTTTGCATTTCACAGTTTAAAGGATTAAAATAATTTCTAAATAATCTCATGTATGTGCTTTGGGGTAGTCTGTGTGTATATATGCATATACACATTTATAATTTTAATCCACAGCTCTATCCTTGAAGCTTAATTTTGCCTTTTTAACTATCCAAAGGCAGTTGACAGTTATAGATGTGTTACTCCTGCCTTCATGTAGGAGTGCACTGACCACATACGACTGCTGCTGTGGTCCATACTTGTTGCAGTCAACAATAATTCTTCTTCAGCGTCAGTGAGGCGGGATGGTACGGTCACACTTTAAGTCAATGCCGCAGATGGGTATCAAGAAACGCACCTCGCAGTTCTGCATTTTTTCTGTTGGAGTAAGCAAACATGCTCAAACTGGTTAAATGCATATATTTAGTGCACTGGAACTTGAATTCTTATTGCCAGCCATCAAATCCTAGCTGGTACCATGTTAGGAGCTGGCAGTGTGTCATGGGAGATGTTCAAGAAAGCCTGTCTTTGAAGTGAACACTCTTCAAACCTTGGCTTTGTTTTTAATTGGGAGGTTTATTTTATAATTTAGAAACCACTCTTCCCCATGCTGTTTTATTTTCAAATTTATTATTTCCACTTTAAAATTATCATCATCTTTCATGCAAGGACTGTCTTCTCAGATGCCTCATAATTGAGACATTGACATCAAAGTCTGCTTTCTCTGCTTCTGTGATTGATTCAGATGTAGAATATGATGGGAGTGTGGTAAAAATAGAAATGCAATCGCTGTGACTGAACATGAAACATTCATACAGAAGTTGAGCATTTCTTCAGCGAGTGTTGCAGAGGATTTGTATGACATTAGTCTGTCATGGTTATGGAAATAGTCTCCTAAATTTTAAGAATACAAAATAATATAAAACTATTAAGTGCAAAAGGAATGAACACCTTTTCTTCCAAGTGTCATTGTACCTGTGTGAGACCTGTGGTGAAAGCATGTAGTGTAATCTTAGCCTGTCCTTATATTTTCAGTTTCATAGTAAATTGTATCTCAGCTGACAAATCATTGATGGTCTTAATAATGGTAATAACTGATAAAAAATAAATTACTTGTTAGTATTGTTATTATTAAAGTTTTCCGGTGCTTTGCTCACCTGTGTATCTTGGTCTGAAATGTACTCAAGTCACAGACCACTTAGAAGGGAGCACTTGCCAAGAGAGATGTAGTACGTGGCAAAACCAGTGCACGACAGCAGGTACTGCAGCTTACAGCAGCACTCACAGTGTGGGCATTTCTAATGTCCCCATCCCCAAGGAAACAAGTAAGACAGCAGGAAATGGATGTATGATATTACATTTTGGGCAGGGACTGGAATTAGAAGTGTAGGATTGAGTTCCTGTTCCAAAGTGACAAATGGTATAAAGCTGAATTGAATGAAGATTTTATTAATTTGTTTTTCTGCTAACTCTTGCTCCTTCTTTTAGACTAGGCTTTGGCCTGTGGACAGGAGAGAGAGCTGATCCCAATTTCCATCTCTCTCTATTTTGAGATGCTGCTTTGCCAAGCCCCAGTTCCAGAAAGGGAAATACAAACAAATTCTATTCTACTATTATCTTTCACTAGCTCTTAGCAGTCTGTTCGATGTAGGGTTTACTTAGAAGAACAGATAAGTCAGTACATGAAACATTTTAACATGCTAAAAATATCACAAACCAAAAAGCACATCAGAGCTTCATCTCTGAACTTCATACGAAAAAAAGTGTTCATTTAGGAAACAAAGGTGGAACTTGCCCAAGGTGCATTAAATATAATCCTAGGTTTTCTGGGAATCAATCCTACTTCTTCGTTTTCAGAGCATATATTTTTCTGTGTAAATGTTCTTAGGACACTGTCATAAATCTGGTTGTTTGGTGTGTTACTCAGAAAACATTGAAGGTCTGTGCCTAAAATTGCTGACCAAGAAATGTTCTGCCAGCAAGGCTTGTCATAATTTATATTTCTAAGAGTAATCAAAAGGCACCAGTGGAGGCTTTTCTCTGTTTCTGTCATCAGACCATAATCTAGTTACAAGGTTACAAGTTCCAAGATATATTGCCATCTAAGTATTCACCTACAAGAGAGAGAAAAATTATGTAGAATAAAAGTTGCATTCATCTATAATTAATGCTTATGATATTAACAATAATTAATGGGTATCTTCAGAATTAAAATGGGATGAGAAAAATACTGGGGTCCAAAGCTTTTCAGCTCTTTTCCTCCCTTTACTAGCCTCCAGTCTGAAATGGAGTTGTATGAAGAAGAGCAGGATAGCTGGGGAGGATGGGCAGTAAACTCTCTGCCTCCAAGCTCCCTGTGGACCAGATAAGTCCTACAGGGAATGTCAGAGGTCCCTGACACAAAGCAGTAATTTGATTTTTAATAGTTTATTTTATTCTCTTTTTTTCCAGCTTCAGAGCCCAATTTGAAGGTACGTTCAAGGTTAAAACAAAAGGTGACAGAAAGGAGAAGCAGTCCTTTACTCAGGAGAAAGGATGGAAATGTTGTCAGTTCATTCAAGAAGCGACTCTTCGAGGTGACAGGTAATTAAGAATGGAGAGATTCTGTATCAGCTGCAGTTGCTCACAGAATAGTGGTGGTATTTTGGAACTGAAATGGTTTGCTAAACAAAAGGTTGTATCTTTTTTTTTCTGCTTTTTTTTCTTTCTGGAAAAGAAAACCATATGAAATAAGTGGTCTGTATGAATAGCTTGTAATCTACCACTTACTACAAAGTCAGTGTCAAGTTGAAAGCCATACTTTTAAACTAGGTTGGAAAACAGTACTTTACAACAGCAAGTACAAGAACAAATAAATGATCGATTGTTGGTGGCAATGGACATTAAAGGAGAAAACAAGAATAGTCTGTTCCCTTAATTTGTGTCTTCTGTACGTGGCCAACATTTTGAGTCTTGTATATCCCACTTCCCATCTCCCATGGAAAATGAAGATTCTAATAGCAGGTGCGGAAACACCTATCTGGTATTGGTTAGGTTGATCAAGGACCTTTTGGAGTGTTGTGTTTGCTCCTGTCCCTCTGGTTTCTCTTGTTTGAAAATGTCAAGATTAGGTGGTTTTGATGTAAGGGCTCACTAAGCTGTTTTTTGAGAAGAAAGAGTTGAAACGTTTAAATGTTCAGTGGCATATTGCTGGTCATAGCAGATAGCAAGGGTTCTTAGTAATTGAAAGGGAACTTTTAGGGTGTAAAAGTACAGAATTACGTATATAGAGAAGAATAAAAGGGGAAGAAAGCCAAGTAAAAATTTGTCATCAAGTAGTGTTTGTTTTCTTGCCCTGGAACTTAAAAAGTGACAGGGTGGGTAAACCATGGACGTTAAGGCTTTCTTTCACTTGTTTGGTATTGCAGAGTGGTAAACTTTGTCACATGTATTATTTTGAAGAATTGCACCTGAGTTCCCAAACAGCCTAAAGTCCTCTCATATTTAGCCCTTAGGATTAGTTTGCTGCCAAGGCCTTATCTGCTGATTTGAAAGAAAAGAGTATTTACTGTATTTGGCCTCATTCTGAAGTTTCTTGCTTTGACTTTGCATCAATATTTGGTAGCCTCGTGGCTTGTTCAAGTGATGTTATCATCAGGCTATATGTTGATGGAACCAACTGTTACTAGTCTGTCAGACGTATCTGAATTCACTTGGTGTGTCAGAATTATGTCACGCTAGGATGGAAATACAACACAGGATGAACAAATTCACATCAGTGTCCCTGTACATGCAATACTTTTGACAACTTCCACAGGATGTCACGTGTAAAACTGGGACATGGGTGTGAATGTAAGTATGAAAGTAACTAAATAAGGTAATTTCCCTATAAATTATTTCCAGTTCAGATTTTTTTACAACTAATTTATTATTTCTATTTGCTGAAGCTCTTATGAGATTCTTGATCTCCACATCCTTTGTTTTAGCTTTATATTTTCTATGCCCAAAAGGAAGGTAAAAAATGAAATACTTACCCCCAGAGGTTTATTTCTGCAGCCACTGAAAAAGTAGAAACGTGAAGATAAATGTGTTCTCTTCCTAGCTCTGACAATAATTCGGAGCTTTTAGAGATTGCCGTTATGCTTATTAATATCGGCTGTATGACATTTTGCATCTTTCATAATCAAAACTTCCCTGATCAAACATTTCTGGCTGAAACCTTTTTTTTGTTGTTGTTAATTATATAACTGAAAATAGCCCTTCTTAAAATGTCGCTTTATACAGAAAGTACTATTGTAATCTGAGAAAAAAGAGTAAGTGTGTGTTTCTGCTCCTCTGTGAAAACTAGTGAGAATGCAATGCAAGAACTTTACCTGAGCAGTTAATATAGCTGGGTACAGATTCACTTCAGTAAGTTGAAGTTAGCTGTAATAGGAAAAAGCTACAGGTTGAAGAAACAGCTGGGAAATCTGCCGTGAATTTCAGTCAAACTGAGGATATATTTTACATATGAACTGTAGCAGAATGAGTGAAGAAGCAAAGAAGTGGCTGTAGAATATTTACCTGCACATTTAGATATTAACTGTTTTAACTTATTGTGTACTTTAATTTGGAAGCTATCCAATGTAATAGGCTTACCTCTACTAACGCTGCACTCTTCCATCTTTAACCTTGTTAACTGTTTCCATTACATAATTTTAATTTATATCAATATAGGATTAGAATAACTCAATACAACACAAGATCATCCTCCTCCCTTTATCTTAGACAGAACTCGGGAAATTGTAAATCGAGATAACATGCAGCCTTTCAAATGCTATTTTAAGATTTTTTTATGCTGTAAATATTCCTCTGTATTTATGCCAAGGATACAGTGAAAGTGGTGTATATTTTGACATTATTATTATATATGTAATGATTAGTCCACAACAGGCTCATCTTATTTCTAAACAGCAAGGGGATGGGAGTAGGCCTCATGAATTGACGACACATAATCATGACCTTTGCAAGCCTGCTATCTCTGTTATTTTGATCTCTTACAGAGGCAGGAGTCTTTGCAATTAAAAAGAAAATAATTCTCTTTCTTTTTACTCATTACAAGTTCTATGTATATGAGGTATCCTACCTTTTTTGTGGGAGAAATAAATAGTAATTTCTTCCTTTGTGAAGCAGACAGATCACAAGGGGAAAGCCAGGAGTATCTTTCCATGTTAGCCCTGTTAAAGGAAAACCAAAAGAAATGGGAGTGAATTAAAAATCTTTAATGTAAGTAAATGGTTTATTCATAACTGATAAAAACTTTTCAACAGGAAAAAAAAAGTGCCCTCAAGAGCAGACAATTAATCAAGATCATGTGTTCCTTTCCAGTGTGAAATTCATGTATGCTTAATATGTTTTTCAGAGTCCTCAATCAGTAGCAGCTCCCCTGGATCAGGTCCCAGTTCCCCAAGCAATGGTCCGACCAGCAGTATAACAGAAAATGAAACCTCAGTTTTGCCATCTAACATTCAAGCTGAGGTAAGATTCTTTCTCCTTATTGGGTAGCTAAATGCTCAGATTTCTAGACTGGAGAGATTTGAAAATTCAATTTGAGTATACTCACAAGCAGAATAATTGCAAAAGATAGAATTATCAGGGATACCAGGACAAGAATTATCAGGGATACCAGGACACTGCAAGCTGACATCAATGTTATACCTGAGATACATCTCCATATATGAGATGCATGTCCGGGAGACTCTTTGGTAGCAAAAGTCCAAACAAAAACAGCAGTGATGCTACTGGAAGAGTGGGAGGGAGCTGTGGAAGGAACTTGGAAGCGTCTGTGCTGCAGAGCATTACCTTCTGGTATAACCTGAAGAGGTGCACAATGCTGAACACTGATGAAGAGCTTTCACATGCAAAATTGTGATTTAAACATTGGTTACCCTAAAACCTATAAGTGGTCCCAGGTTCAGATGGCTGCTGAAGTAGATTTTTTTAATTACATGATTGGAGTTAGATGACTAAATCCTTTTTCACATTTGGCTCTTATCTCACTGTTACCTCAGTTTCCTTATCTAGGCAGTACTTACCAGCGTAACTGACATGCCAGGAGTCTTGGATACTTGTTTTGTAAAGCAAGACCGTACACGGAAGGAATCTTAACTATTCCTTATTCTATTTCATACATGCATGTCTATAACAACAGGAATGCAGATGGTATGGTAAATCAATTGTGATAAACCTCATTTAGCATAGATGACATGCCTAAGTCATGCTTTCCATGGTAATATTGTAAAGGGACAATAAATCAATGGAACTAAGAGAGAATCAGATTCCACAATATTCTGAATCCAGTACCTATACTTACAGCAATTCCTGCTTTGATAGCAAAGTTTTCTATTAATTCTTGGTTTATACTGTTCATGTCAGAAAAAATGAATAAGAAAATGTGATTAAACAGAGTTTTAGCTAATGGAGCTATTTCTCCAGGTCAGTGGCAGGACATTCACCTCAAAAAAAAAAACTGGAATGGGCAGTTCAACCTCCAGCAGTGCCTTTTCCCCATAATGAATTAATTGTGTGTGTGAACTATGATCCAGGGGGCAGGTGGGTGACCTCTGCACACTGATTAGTAGCCTCTCTCTGGCCCGTAACCAGAAAGAAAAAAAAATTGCATTGATGGCTAACATGTGGTGTTGCCTCATAGCCCCCCTCTATGTGATTGCAAAGAAATGTGAATGATGCAGAGTAAGATCCCCCATTTGGATTAGATCAGGTCGTAGTTCAATGGAATTAAATTGTATACTTTAATATTGGAAATGTTTTAGACTGAAGTTTGTAATATGTGGGTGTTGGTGCTGTACTAAGCAGGAAATTTTATCCAGTTGGGTCTTCTGTTGACCTGAGGATACTACAGAGTGCAAAGGAAATAGTCACTGACTGATACACGGTGCTTGTTACTTTCCCTGGTTTCTGGACATTTGCCCACGGTGCTGAACTGCCGTCAGACATGCCTACAATGTGGTCAGGCTGGCAATCTCTCTTTGGGGAGATTCGGAAGGGTTGAAGAAAGAACCAGCAGAGTTACATTCTGTTGATTAATAGAACACTGCATCGCATATCATTTGCCATGACTGTGCACGACATCAGGAGTTAGAGCCTCACTATACAATCACAGATGCTCAAATGAGCCTAGGAAGTTCCTTTAGAAGTTGAGCTCTGCGTGCCATAGTCAGTCACTTCGCTGGCTGCAAGTGTGCTAAGAAGCTGGAACTACTGACTTCCATTTTTGGATCCAGTCGGCGGTTTCTTTGCCTCTCTGGTTACTTGACTGTTAATACTGTGGTCCTGTGGGCTCAGACATTTTTCCGTAACTCTCAACTTCAGTGCATTTTGATTTCAGTGGGATTTTCTTTGGTAGTTTATCAGCAGCCAAACTCCTACATACCTCTTTTCTAGTTTAGCATTAGCTGCCAGCTCTCAAAGACTAAACATCTAATCAATTTTTCATCAGATACACAAAGTACATAAGTTTCTAACAATAGGATAAGTGTTCCAAAATCACCCCAAATATCACTTGTTTTGCTGTAATCCTGCATGACTCATATTACTGTTGTTTCATAATTGTTGTTGTGACATTTGCAGTAAGTGTTGTGCTCATATGAGTGGGTGGATAACCGCGGTTTTCATGGCAGCAAATAAAGCACTCTTTGCTGGGGGAAAACAGGTTGCTATGACAGAGGGCCATTTACCAGTAAAACATGAGTCAGTACCATAAGTGATTACACTCCTAGTGCATAGACAGAATTAGAGCATTATCAGTAATGAAACAGATTTTTAGAGTATTTTTGCCATATCTCTTTGAAAAGTAAGAGTTTTAAGTGGTTTACCCTCCGGAGCAGACAGTCTGGTGGCCAGAGGTTTATGTTTTTCTGAATGAACAAATATGCATTGCAAATGCAACATTTTTGCAGATAATCTTTTACTCTCACAGTTCCCTTAATGGTGCTTTCAGTATCATTTGTTAAAATACTAGTCTCATTATATGAATCTTGAAAGTTAAACTCAAGATTTTAATTGCACCTTACAAATAAAATGCTGTTTTTATTAGGCCCAGTTGTCTCCAGTATCATCAAGGTTCACCGCAGTAGCTATTTGTCTCTTGTAGCATGCCGTACACTTTCAGGTCACCTGCTGTGCTGGGGCTAAATCTTACTTGCATGAGAAATGCAAGCAGGTCTGAACCTCCGCACAGCACGTCCCTTGAGTTCAGAGGGACAACCTGCCTTAGCCATGTGAAATGATTAATGTCAGGCATTCACAGCCTGGTCAAAAGCCATTGAATGCAATGGAAAGTTTCCAATTGGTGTAAGCGGGCTTCAAGTCATTTTCTTTCTCTTACATTTGTGCTTTCCAGAGCAGCATTTCCTAGAATATTACCTGATTATACAGAAGACATTAATGACATGCATGGCAGATAAACACGTACTTGATTTGTGCAACCCCACAGCACTGTGTTTCTAATACTCAGCTCCTTGAGGTGTTCTTTGCAAGTGGCTAGTGGCAAATATGTAGGTTTCTGTCCAGCTGGTGAGATTTGCTTCAAGTGATGTGAACAGTCTAATTAATTAGCAAAAAACCCACCCCCAAAAGCCTTAAGAAGTAAGAATGTAATTGTGATGTTCAAAGCTGTGACAACTTCACTGTAGCTCCACAATTTAGCAGTATTAAAGCCAAAACATTTCCTCTTTCGCTCCTAATATATAAACGTGTATATAAATGTGCACACATGAATTGGGTGATCCTGCTTCTCAGCAGGTCACAGTACCAAAACAGAAGTACAATAACTAATCACGGTTACTTTGTCATCATAGAGTCACAGAATGGTTTGTGTCGGAAGGGACCTTAAAGACCATCTAGTTCCACCCCCCCTGCCATGGGCAGGGACACCTTGCACTAGACCAGGTTGCTCAAAGCCTCATCCAGCCTGGCCTTGAACACTTCCAGGGATGGGGCATCCACAACTTCCCTGGTGGGTCAGGTCATCATGTCCTGTTACATTTAGTTATTGTGCTCTTTTAGAAGAAGGGTGGTAACTCTGTTGATAGAGTATTTTCAGCATCAGGAAGCAGGATCCATGGACACAGTGAGTAAGTATGTAGAGGAGCAAGTAGGGCAGTTGCTCTTTGGGGTACTTTAGGTGCCAATGCCAACCATCAAGTCTGCCTGTAGGACGGGGACCGTGGCTCAGCCATCGTGCTCTCAAATGACACTGCTGGCAGCTCCAGTTTGTGTCACCATTTCAAGGTGTTACCAACTGTGTAAGAAGAGAAGCTGCAGCTGGAGTCATGCAGTTGTGCTTCAGCATAGGCAGGACCCTAATCTATGCAGGTGGGCTACTAAACCTTTTTTGGGAGGTCAGGTTTAACTGACGTTTAGGCTAATATTATCTGAAAATATGTTTTAAAAATCAGTTACCTCCCCAGATGAAAATTACTAATTATTAGCCGTATTAAGATTTTTATGGAAATGCTCTTACTAATAAATTCCTCTTTTCAACATTGAACTCCCATGGTAAATAATATGATTGATTCTGCCTCATGAAACAATCATGCCTAACCTTGATGTGGGAATGTGCTTTACTGCTATACACCCTGCTGTGGCTGTGTTTGTTAATTCAAATCTTAGAGGATCATTGTGCCATACTGAAAATGAAAATGGAAATGTGCATCTTTAAAGTAGCTTTGTATAGATGCTGCAGTTGCTACCAAGTTGATTATATTCTACATTATTCTACATACTAGTCACATGAGGGCTGCTGCAGCGTCCTTTTTCAGCTAATCTTCTGTTAAATGTAGACTCCCTCATAATATCTCCATAGTCTTGGCATATTTGGTTTTATTCATGGTCAAAGGTGGTTGTTACCAAGGCAAGACAGTTTTAGCTGGGAATTAATGTAATATACAAGTGAAGCTTCTTTGTTTTGTATGCTATCTGTTGACATTCCCTAGGCACCAAAAGAAAATTACAGAGTTAGATTTCTACTGTTATTGTCTCAGTGATAGGTCGTATCTCCAAACAAACTGTATGAGGAAGGTTATGTTTTGAAATAACATCCTGTGTTTTTGTGCTTAACCACTTTTCATTGATGGTCTGAAGTTGCATTGTATTAGCAGAAAGTATTTTACAGAGTTAATTGATATTCCAGGTTTGTCCAGAGGAAAATCTACAGCTCCCCACAACATGCTTGACAAGTTATTATATTTACTTTAGTCAAAGCCCGAGTGTGCAGTATCCCTCTTGGAGGTGGTCTATTATTGGAGTCCCATATGCTTTTTGTTTGGGAAGAAAGCAGTCACTGTGTCATACTGTTACACAGGGTATTCTTTTTCAAGGATGTTGTTCCCTTGGGGACCATATCATGCCAGAGTTCCTAAGTCTAATAAGACCTTTGTAGCTCTTATTCTGTTAAAGTTCTGGGAGGGAAGCAAGAGTTAAACAGAAAATGTAATTCAAGCAACTATACTAGACCACATCTTGAAAAACATGAATGTTAAAGCAGAAAGGCGAAGGCTTCAAAAAGATTCCTGTTGGTGGTAATGTAACTTTTTATGTTTCTTCCCAATGAATCTCAGTGGAAAGGCAGAGGGTGATCTTTGTGGAATGTCTGGTTTTACTTGACAGTAATTAAAAATATATTAGCAATTCCATGTCCTTGAAAATTATATTACAAGGCTTCAAAAGAAGTGTTAAAATCTTTAACTGGAGGGGAATTAATTAGGAAGGGTGTGAGGGGTATCCCACCATCAGAGAATTATAGGATGCTGGGTTTGTGTATATGCATATACAGAAAGAGATGGTACTTTTTTTTTTAAATGGTAGATGTGGCAATCTGCCTGACTTTCTACACAAAATTCCTATGTCAGTGGAAGTAAATAATGTGCCTGAAACATCCTCATATCAGGGTAAGAAAATACATGGACTTGGTACAAACCACGTATCATACCTTACAACAAAAATTCTAATAACTACGGTAAAGTAAAGGTCTAATACATCCACATTTCTGACACCTTTGATAAGGCTAAATATACTGCTTAATTTGTTAGCTAAATTCTCACTGAGTTTCTACTTGTGAAAGTGCAGTTGGTGAGAAGAACTAATGTTGATGATGTTGATGAAATGTCCTAGGAATTCTCAAGATTTCACATTTGCACGGAAATTTGATTAACTAACTAAGGAATGATCCCAAGGAATAATATATAAACTGAAAAGTAAATATATATGAGTTATTTTCTTAGGAAGTATCAACAGCTTTTTCACAGGGACAGTACTTTTCCTTAGCTGGAACCCCACTGGGTTGCAAACCAATGCATGACGCATAACTGGCTTTCAGTGTGGCAGCATAACAAGGATAAAGTAACCAAGATAAAAAGCTTGGGGATCATACTTCTGTTGTTTTTCCCTTTATTCCAGCATCTGGTTTCACAGCAACGCCTTTTGATACAGGATGAATCAGTGAACTTGTTGAGTCTGTACACATCCCCTTCTCTGCCCAACATCACCTTAGGACTTCCAGCAGTACAACCTCAGATCAGCGTAAGTGACCAGTCTCAAGCCTTCCTGTCTGTTTTTGCTTCCAGAAAACCTACTTTCTGATTAGCCTCTTGTTTTTTAGCATTTTGGAACGTAAGCAGTTCAGACCTTTCTTTGCATTAGGCAACATCTCAACATTTAAGGATACAACCTGAAAGCAATAAGCATTCTTAAGAGCAAATAAACAAGTGCCAGTGTGGAGCTTAGCTACGTATGGGCCCCATGCATTGCATTTATGTCTGCAAATCAGGTAACAGATTTCAGGCATGGTGAGAAGTATATGAGGAGATCATTTAGTATGAAAGTTCAAATTATATGATCACCCCTACCTGGAAAAATACAGCACCTGCAACTTTTTATGAGATTCCAGTAGCAACCTAAGTTGGGTTGGAACATAGCAGGGAAAAAATCTGGTGTTCTGCAGCTAGGTTTGAGGGGTGTGCAAATCAGACAAATCAAATCAGTGATATGTGAACACTGAGTATTTGAATGACAAATTATAATCATATGCCCTTTGTTCAGTCTGCAGCAATGACCTATATTTAGAGCTAAATGTTAAATTAATAATGTGAAATGTATGAAAACACAGACATGTTATGCATGGAGATCCATGCTGATGGATTAGGATCTTTAGATCTAGACCAAGTTACAGTAACTGAGAGGTGAAATCTGTGACCCAGTAAAATACCTGAAAATTTTGCCACTGATCAAAACTTACCATTTTTTGAATTCTGGCAAAAAATGTAAAAGTAGCAATATAAGTTATATGGTGGAATTATACAACAACAAATGAAATTTTTAAAATAAAAATTTGAATTTCTTAGAACATTAATTGTAACTTCTATAAAAATTCTAAGGGTGCAAGTGCAACTTTCCATGGTGTAAAAAAGAAAACAAATCTACACAACCCACTATGATTTCTAATAAGTGCTACTTAATTCCAGTACTAAATGTAGTTTCAAGTTAAAGTTTCATGTTATTTTATGTTTTTTTGAGTACATTTACTCTTCTCATCAATAGTATATTGCTGCAGCCCAACATTTTAACATCAGATACAGAACATTGCAAAGAAAACTGTGTAAGCTCTAAATCAGTTCTCTAGTAGCCTTTCATGAGATATTTATAAGCAAATTATTGGTTTTAAGGGATGGAAAAATGAACAGATCATGAAAAGTAGTACTTACTTTTCCAGACGATCTCATCAAAAGTTTCTCAGCTATTTCACAAAAAATATAACTAACTTCAAAGTAATTTTATAACATTAAAATTGAAATGAAAATATATTTAATTTTCTCACTCAAAACGTGAGCTTTTGATGTGGTCAGCTAGCACCAAATACTACTTCTGGCATTCAAAAAATACAAGTTGTTGATTTATGCAAGTAATGTTCATTACTGTTACCAGAATAAGCAGTTGCAAATTGAATGTAAAGTTTACTTTGGGGGTTGTTTTTCAGGAAAAGGTGATAGCAGAGTGTGAAGTAAGCATACACCCAAAAATATTAGTGGAAACCTTGGGTTGTCTCATTAGAATTTATGGAATTTATATTATCAGAGATAGTTTTTAGCATGACATACACCGTAAGTGGTTAGTTGCAAGCCTTATCATGCTTATTTCTGTTAGGTTATTATTCTTGCGGTGAAAATTGTTATTCTGCTCTTTCAAGAAAAATGATTTTTAAACTAGACGACAAAGCAATATGAAGTGTAATTTGCAATGCCGAAGGGCCAAAACTTCCAAAAGCTTTAAATCAATAACTGTGCAATTTCTAAGGGCACTTTAAAATGACACACACATGCAATAGCTCTTGATGATTCTGTAGATGAGAGTTTAACTACACAAATTTACTTTGCAAAGGGTAAAACTTATATTTGTGCTGTCCTTCAGGGAGTCAGGGAGTGCTCCAGGAAATGTAATAGCTTCCCACTACTACAGGTAATTATTTTGTTTTGCTGATTGGCTTGCTGTCTGATTGAAAGTTATGTAAAAAACCAAGCCTTGCCTATTCCAAACTCAATGGAAACTATTTCCTCTGATCCCTGTTTTCCTATGCAGGAGGTTGTGGGAAGGTCTATAGGAATTTTAAGGACAGGTCCTGTCTTTTCATTAATATATTCTAACTAGTAGTTCCTTATGCTTTGGCTTTTATTACTTATTTTTTCAAGTGGTTTCTTTACTCAGTTTCTCACAGTTTTACATTTAACTGGCATGTTCTTCCTCCCTTTTAATCTCACAGTAAAAGTCTAAGATAGGGATGTTAACCTTTTCTTCTGTACGTGTTCATAAAGTGTGACATAAGATCATCTAATCAAGTGGAGATATAAATGGCCAGGTCTATGAAAAGCAGTTACCAATGACATTGTTCTTTGACAGGCTTCATCGTCATTCAAAGAAAAGCAGAAGGGGGAGACCCAGTCGCTCAGACAAGGAGTGGCCTTGGCTGGACAGTATGGAGGGAACATTCCTCCATCCTCAACGCATCCTCATGTTGCTTTGGAGGGAAAGCCCAACAGCAGCCACCAAGCTCTCTTGCAGCATCTGTTGCTGAAAGAACAAATGAGACAGCAAAAACTTCTTGTGACTGGTAATGATCAAGGCTTCACCACAATAATAATTTAAGATGTATTTAATGACATTGTATTCACATTAAACTAAATGTGGTAATACAGATACTATGCATCCTATCCGTTTAGAGAAATGGAAGGGTGGGAGGAAAAATGACAGCATCTTTGTTTCCCCTTTAGTGATTCTGCTCCAGTCTGTTAGCCTGAAAGAATTCAGTGATTACAGAAAAGAGAAAATGATTACTTCATCACATTCTTTTGCAGCTGCTGAACTTCCCAGCATGGCGAGGCACGTGGTACACATCCCACTGCATCAGTGCTGATGCAGAGTTCTGCAATATACACCCCTCTTCTTGCTGAAAGCTTTCTCTCCTATTAGAACTATTATTTTGCTATTCTTCACACGGGAGTAAAATGTCCCTGTTTTGCAGGAGCGGTTCCTCTTCATCCACAGTCTCCTTTAGCAGCGAAGGAGAGAGTCTCACCTGGCATAAGAGCAGCCCACAAACTGCCTCGTCACAGGCCACTGAATCGAACTCAGTCAGCTCCTCTTCCTCAGAGTACTTTGGCACAGCTGGTCATCCAGCAACAGCATCAACAATTTTTGGAGAAGCAGAAACAGTACCAGCAGCAGATCCATATGAATAAGGTGAGTTCCCAAAGCTAATAAAGAAGTTTATTGTGCCATGTGGTTATGGATGGCAGATGGGTTCTTGGATGAATTATCTTGTTTATGCACAGTTAGTGTATATATTTGTATAGATCTTCATTTTCAGCTTTCTGAAAGATGCTAGCAAGGTAATTTGTGGTTCTTGACATCAGTAAAAATACAGTTCAACAAAACAGGGTTCAAAGAATCTTACAAGTTTAAATTACAGGTGATTTCCTGTTGAATGGTAAATGATGCCTGAAAGTTTACTAGATTTTTATTTAATGTTTTAATGAGCACTTTTGAGCTTCAGCAATCATTCCATTCCTTTAAACTGTATTTTAAGATTCCTCATTGTGGACTATTATGTGCAGTAAATATATCTCATTTGAACTAAGTCAGCTAGTTTGTGTAAGAAATGTATTAAACATCTGGAGAAATTTTTAATCAGGTTTTATTGAACCAATTTGTTCTCTGTAAGTCAGTTAGTAACATGAAAGTTTGTTATCTATATGCCAATGCAGAATTACCATATAGGGAGAAAGAGAAAAATGTGCTACTGCTAACATCAGATAGAGAGTTGAATTGTGCCTCTTATTCCCTATAGAGTAACATCTTATTGTGGGAAGGTGCGGGGAGAAGAAAAGGGATCATCCATTTATAAACAAAGAACAGCAAAATCTAAGTAGATTTATCAGAAACTAATGCTTCTACAACAAATGTGATGCTGTTCCCTCCTCTAAAATGAAGCTATGCACGTATTTAAATACTTCTATCTGAATAACTTTTTCCTGCACTTACTACATAGCTTTCGAAAAGTTGTTTGCTGGAGCTCCTCTAGTAATTGAAAGATATTAATCTTGCACCTTTAGTTGTCTTCTTTTGTATGAGTGTTATGTATAGTATATAGTATATATGTAAGTATATGTAAGATGCAGTGGCAAAGAAGAAAAGATGAAAACCGGACATTTAGCCCATGTACCTAACAGAAAAAAAAAAAAAATTAATCCACCTTACTGGGTGAACTTCCCAGGGTATACTGATTCTTTGGAATCTACTAAGAATTCCCAACAAAATTAGAAACAAACCTAGAGTTTAAGTACATAGTTTGTACAGTGGTTTGGTTATTAAATCTTGTCTTAATTAGGAAAAATGAAGACCAGAAAACTTCAAAGTTCAGAGCTGATCCTTGCATGTTAACCCCTCTCAGCTTGGGTGTTTTCATTACTCAACTAGGACTCCAGTTGGTTTTTCTTTGAGTATGCATTCCATATGTTTAATCAAGATGGCATATGTATATCTCGTAGCCTCAGGTTTTCAAAATATTTCACCTGCCCTCAATTGTCTGAAGAGAAAATAATTTTTGTCGGTAAAGTACTGAGTCTTTGTGATGTTTGTGGGTATTCACTACAAACTGATCAGTTCATGCATTCCTCACAAAGCAAAGAACCCCCCTGACATGTTTTTGTTAGATCATATGCTTATTGACATAAGTTCTACCATAGTACTGGGGATATGTGCTGTGGCATATAGGTACATTTGTCCTGAATGTGAAAATTAAACCTGAGTTGCATAAACATATTTCTAGTCACGTAGGACTATGAATGCATTGCACCTCACAAGAGCTAGGCTGGGTAAGGAAGTCAAGAGACTGCAGTTGGTTTGAGATAATGCTTGTTTCAGTAACGTTTCTTTTTCTGAGTTAAACTTCAATGAAAATGTATGCTAAGAAGAATATTTCCCTCTTATACTTGAAATATGCTTTCATTGTCACCTGGTTATTTGTATTTATATTAGCTTTTATTCTCTATAGTATAGGCTATACACATGTGCAGATAGTAAAAATGTAAGTTTATCCGTTATTTGTGATAACGAGACAATAGAATACACTGTTTTAAAACCTGGTTAACCTAGCTTTTATTCTCTATAGTATAGGCTATACACATGTGCAGATAGTAAAAATGTAAGTTTATCCTAGGGCCTTTCGCTGCCTTGAACCTCCATAACCTACTTCCTTTGCCCCAGTAGCAGTCGTCTTTATCCCAGCTCCCAGAGCAGCTAGCCTGCATCAGGAGCATGGTAATTCAACAGAGCAGCAAACACCTAAGGAGGAACAGGATTGTGCTGCAGCCACAGCAGAGGGGTCTGAGGATACAGGCAGTTTATTGGACTTTACAGTTTGTAGCATCTATGTTCTTCTGCAGCACTGTTCTCAGAAGAACCATTCTGATGAATAGTACTGAGACATGTCTGTGCTCTAACCATCCTCTGCAGTTATAGAGAAAACTAGGGGCTTTCTTACGTACTTAAACCTGATTTATGAAAAATGGAATTTAAGGATAGCCCAGAGACGAGAGAGTAAGAAAGATCAAATCGGGGAGTGGCTTTTAAGTACTGAATTTAAAGCTATACTTTAACCCTTTAATTTAAAGATTCAGATTGAACACCTTTGCCTATATTAGGTTTTTGAACTCTGCTAGCATGGTGGAATATACTTTGGTCATTCTTAAAACTCGCCTCTATTTGCAGATGAAGTTATTTGTTCATTATGTGGTTTTTATAGCTTTAGAATCAAACTTAAGTTCTGCAAAACAGAGTTATTTGAATGTTAAAACAATAGATATTCTAGACCATGTAACAAAGCAGCCCAGTATCTTCTAATTTCTTGGGATAAATTTGGGCATGTATCAAGTGAATACATGCACTGGTTATTTTCCATTGTTCTGCCCCTTAATGTTCTGTTTATAGGCTGTATAATGAAATCTATACAGAGATGTAATTCTCTCCTTTTCAGTCATGAAAAATGTAGGGTTTTTTTGATAAGGAATACTTAAATATTCTCTTAAAAATTTTGGTGAGAAAGACCAGAACCATTTAAAGCTGACAAGACTATGAAATGCAAATTGATCAAGAGCTTAGAACAGGTTAATAACTTCTTTTTCTTTTCCATTTCTCTTTTTTTCCTTATGTTTAGGACTTCAAGTACTTAAGGCTTTAATATATTTTAACTGAACCCAATATTTGAATGTTTGCCCTGAACTAAGATGATATGGCATGTGTCAGCACTCCCTGAAAAATGTTTTGGTCGGATCTTTTCAGCAAACATATAGGTGAATCTTACTGTAACAACAAAAAGAGGAAGAGAGGAAGTTTCTTCCCACTCCATTGATCTTGTATTTGTTTTGTATTAAACAGCCATTTCTTTTCTTTGAGAAAAGAATATACTTCATCAGCAAACCAGTGGTGCTGCGAGGGTGATAACAAGCAAAATCTGACATAGGTCAGAGGTAAAGAATTCCCCTGGATCATTTCCATTCTGAAGAGAAACAAATCGTTGCCAAGAGGTGTCTCTGTCCTTAATAACAAAGAGAAGATCCCCAGTGGATTATTTCTGGTCAGCTGTCAGATGCCAGGCTTTTGATGTGGGAAATGGTATACGTCTCCACTGAAGTCTGACATGTATACCTGCGGGATCTAGTACGCTGACCTTCTTCAAAAACATTCTGAAAATGTTGACGTCCCATCCAAAAGTAGGTAGAAACCCGCGTCCCAGCTTTCTGGGGAAAAAATAATAATGAATGTGCAGTAACCTGAACTCTGCTTGTCTTAGGGAAGATCAGCTTTACTGTTGTCAGCTTTAATATACTTCTGTCCAAATGACAGCTTATTTCCTCATAATGTCCTTTGATCACCATTGCAAAACTTCGTTCTGTTCAATATAGGGAATCCAAAGTCTGAAACCCCCTGATGAAATTATCGCGGTCAGGTACCAAAAGACCACGATTGCAATAAAAACCTTAAAATCTTGGTGTTATTTGTGTGTGTCTGTATCTAGAAAGCTTTGACCCTGCTACTTGCAGATAAAAGGGTCATTTTGATACAACTGATGTAAGCGCAAAGCCCCGAGCAGAAGGCTGTGTTCAACAAAAAAGTCTCAGAGACCGTGATGTGAAGGGTACGTGCAAAAGCCCTCTGCCTTTAAAGGGCACGTACGATACATAAGGTCCTGCCTCTGCAGAAGCTAAACTAGCACTGAGACCAAGATTTCATTTGACCAGCATATTTGACCTAAATATGTTCTTAAAACAATGTATTCTTAGCATTTTGACAGTTTGTTGTCATTGGTAAAATCCTCCCCTATATCAGAGTAGCAAAGATTAAAATAATGGGGCAGTTTGTAGTGTGGACTAAAGCATGAGAGTTTCAGTTTTCATTCCACAGAGTTGATGCTTTAAAGCATCTTTGTATAGGGAATCAGTGACTGGGCAGGACTGTTAGGTTAAAAATACATGACAAAAAATACATAGGAAATAAAAATTCATTAGTGCTTTCAATGGTGATCATAATCAGCCAATATCTGTTAATATAAAAATTAACAATAATACGGATGTTTCTGTTGATTTATTGATGTAATCATCAAATTTCTGATGATTTATTGATTCCTGTTCTTAATGGGAAGATTTAAAAATCTTCCTATTTATTATAGGAAGATTAATTGTTTCAGTAGGAATATTGAAAGGATACAGTTAACCCCAGATTAATTCACTTCTCTGAACGACATTTAATGAAATAGGGAAGACTTTTTGGATCAGATTCAGATAGAGTAGATTAACCTAGTTTCATTAAACATGTTGCATCTGAGATTGTAGCTTTCCAGATCTGGAAAGTCACAAAGCTAGTCACATTTCCACATCTGACTAGCATCTTCTGAAGGTTCGAGAGGTAGCACACTTCCTTCAAATATTGCTTACAGTGGGGGGATTATTTTTTGGACAAAACTATAGCAACAGTTGACTGTGTTCGGAACTGAAAATGCCCAGAGCACTTTCTCCTTTACTAAGAACTAAGGTTAAGTCACAATGCAGAAGAATGATTTTGAAAGATAAATACATCCCTTAGAAACATTGTACTTCAGTGACAGGACAACAGTAAGCAGGTACCAAGTCTTTTCAGTACAGCTAACAGCATACATGTAGCTGGTTAAAGTAGTCGGAAAGCCATAGGAGAGAAGGAGAAAGTGTGTTCCATAAGCATAGAAATGAGTTCTTAGAAATAACAGCCATGTATTTAAAATGAACAATTAAATAAGGAAAGAAGTGTATGTGGTGCTGTTGCAGGATTTTGTTCGTTGTCTCTTTGCAAAGACCTTTTATATATAAAATACTGTATTTTTACAAGAGCTCATCGTTACAAAGGAGAAAAAAAGGCAGGGCTGCAACTGAAGGACCTATAAAATGGTGAGTTGCAATGTCCAGATTATTTATAATTCCATTTTTCTATACATGCAAGCAGGTTAGATTGTGTTTGATGTCTTTTTTGGTTTGACTCTTGAAGTTGTATAATGGAGTAGGTATCTGTAAATGCTTCCTTTCCTGCTGCAACTATTTACTTTGGCTGATGGATATCCCTTACAGTTTAATTTCCTGAAAATAAAAGGAAAAGTAATACAGGTTACATTAACATGAAACCATTTTTTGAGTGATTCCTTTAGTTGGAATAGCAATAACAGTAATGTGTTCTGGTTAAAGAAGACCAATGTGTACAATTATAATTTATTAGTGAAATAAACAGTGGTGTTATTATTATTTTAAAATATAGTCTTATTAAAGCTCAGATTAAGCAATCATTTTCTCAAAAACAAAATTGTGCATTAAAATGAGGAGAAAGTCCTGCATGTACCTACAGGTAAATTCAGAAAAAAAATGGTAAATGGGGATTTTAAGGTGAAAGATTTAAACATTAGGTGTAAACAGAAGTATTCAGCTGCACAGTAAAAGGAGAACTTGAGCAATATTTCATTCAGGGCTAATTTTCTGCTGTGTAATCCAGCTTTAGTTAGAGAGATAAGATAGAAATATTGACTCTAAACTGATACTTTGAACGTCTCCAGATAGATAGGTAATTTTCCACAGCAATATCAGAAGATATATTATAAAATAAGATGTTTCTGACTTAGGAGATCTGAACAGTTCCTCCTGAGACTCAGAAGAGAATTGGTAATGCTGGTAGTGTAATTACTGGAATATGATGAGGCCAAGCTGCCTTTTGAAACCACTTTCACAAATAGGAAAGCATGGTGATGATATGGAGAAATGAGTCAGCTGTGGCTTAGCAGACTGGGCAGCAGGAGTGGTTTTTAGGTTTTACCCCACATGCCATCCACCCATTTTTATCAAGCTCCGTCATACGAGAGAACATGACTATAGTGCCTCATAGCCCCTTGCCTGAGGCTTAGTTCAGTCACAGTGTGAAGGATGTTTTCTTGTAAGATTTTGCAGAAAAGATTATAATATATATGCACTTTATAAAAATTGCTGTGAAAATATGGAAAGGTTTTAATTTCACAATGGTTTAGAAGATTTAATTTGTTTAGCTTCTCCTGTCACCAAAGTCTGGAGCAAATTGCTTGCTACTTCCGTGGTGTGGGAGCAGGCCCCAGAACAGGAACACTGCAAATCGAAACGCACACAAATGCAACTCTAGTCTCTGCAGCCCTCTCATGTGTGCTTGTGTCGTTCCGCTGATTACACGCGGAAGCAGTTTGAAGGTGTTCCATGTATATATCGTACGTCGCAGGCCATCATGTGTTGCCTCGGAAGGCTCAGCAGCAGATATGTGCCATACAGCAGCATGAAGAAGAAAGAGCCTGACATAAAAGTGAAAAAGCATAAAAGAAAGGAGAAGAGGAATGAGCTAAATATGTGTCTTAACTTTGCTGTGGACATGCACTCATTTTCTCTTGGCTTCCCCTCCAGAATAACCCACCTGATGTCAAGTAACTGGCACGTGGAATGGTTTGCAGATGGATCAGCATCAGTGACTCTCGTAGCCGTATATGATTATCTGTCACACAGATGTTTCGGCTTGTATTTGCTTGCTAGCAGCCAGACCTGCATTTCTTTTCTTGCTTGAGGAGTAGAGAGAGGGCTCGCCCACAGATGTTTAAATAAGCGACAGAGAGGAGTGTACCCGAGCTGAACGCATGTAGTTAGCTTTAGTGTCTTCTTGGTGAGTGTCATCCCCTGAGAAACAACTGGATAAGATTTATGGGTTTGATCTAAGGAATTTTCCAGATGCAGCTTAATAAAAGGAGACACTCTGCGTTGGTTGCAATAGTAAGGATCCCCCAACTTAGAGCATGCCACCTGCAGCATGCAGAATACATGTGTTGTGATTTGCCAGTTACTACAGTAATGAAAAGGGACTTTTTTTGTTTGTTTCCTTTTAGTAAGCCATTAAGCTCCCATTACACCCAAAAAAATCTAAGTTTGCTGTGACCGGAGCCTGTAGACTTCCAGTGTGGAATCTGTTTCTCCACTGATGTGGGGCTTATGCATCAGCACATCAACTGGAACTGCACAAACAGTTCTTTCAACTCTTCTTGTTGACTTTGTGGGGGTTCCTGAATCCAGCTGTAGCTTCTTGATTGTAGTTTACATGACAACCCTGCCCTTCACTAGGGTGGCGCTATTTCTATATGCATTAATAAGCAGAATGAAACTAGATTGTCCATGGTTCATGACAAAATAGCTGTAGTGAAGCCGTCCAGTAACTCAGCATCTAGCACTAGCTAAAACTCAGTTTGAAAGAGTTGATAGTTGAGGGGGAAAAGGTAGATGGGCAGAGGGAAATATGTAAGAGTAATAATAAAAGGTGAGGGTTTTTCCCCTCTCATTATATTTCACCTTGGTGATACAAATCAGTATTTGCTTGAAATCAAGTTGGCTAGTTGAATCAATGATAATTACTCACTTGACCCTGTAGATGCTTACTCATGTGTCTGATTTGTGTCTTTTTCAACAAAACAGATTTTTTTCAGTTTAGGGGTTTTTGGATTACATTTCAAGTATTTTGAATACATTTGCTCCATCTTAAATAGTAGAACATAAACAATACTTGATTGCAGTTCTCAAGCATCTGGCACCTCAGGAAAGCTTTATAACAGCAGTTAATGTTGTAAGCTCAGTATTGTCTGGGTATCTGTTTTATATCATCCCTCTTGAAATGGGGATACCTGCAACATGCACAACAAACACTTTAGTCCTTCCAGGCATGGACTACATGCTTGCAATCCCTTTGTGCCACGGGAGAGGTGACTGATGCTAGCTCTTTGCCAGAGCTCCTTTGTCAACTTCTAGTGCTTTCATGCTTTAATTGATAGAGAGGCTTGTGTGAATATTCCCTAATTTGCTTCTAAAAAAATATGAACCAGATTACTAATTTCTTACATCTTAGCATTCCGTCATTATTTTGTGTTGTGGAAAATGAACTGCATTGTACTTCAATAAATTTCTGCTTTTATGTTTGAAGAGTATGAAGGGAGACTAGTTTCTTTTGATTACTAGATGTAACAGTGCAACAGCTGTGTAATGTTTTCAGTATTCTGCCTTATTTTTAGTTTCGTATTACTGTATAGCACTCTGTAAGTACATGGTATTTTCTACTGCAGAATAACAACTGACCTTTTGCTTAGGAACTGTATTTGTTTTTACTCTGTATGCGAATATTTTAACTATGCATAGCTACCAGGGTTTGCGGCAGAAGCTCTTTGTTGGTGAAAATCTAGTACTTCTTGGCATTCGGCATCAGTGATAGAGTCACTAACTGTTCCCCTCTTTCTCTTTCCAGATGCTCTCTAAGTCCATTGAGCAGCTCAAGCAGCCTGGCAGTCACCTGGAGGAAGCTGAAGAAGAGCTTCACGGAGATCACTCGATGCAGGAAGAGCGAGCTCCTGCCAGCGGTGCCAGCGTTAGGGCTGAGAGCAGCAGTGCTGGTGTGGATGACAGAATAGGACAGCAGGTGGGGGCTGTGAAAGTCAAAGAGGAGCCACCCGACAGTGATGAGGATGTTCAAACCCAGCAAATGGAATCTGGGGAGCAAGCTGCTTTTATGCAACAGGTAATAGGCAAAGATATAGCTCCAGGATTTGTAATTAAGGTTATTATCTGAACGTCACATGCATTTTCTAGGCTTTGATAAGCGGTTGTGTTTTGATTCACTGATTGAGCAAATCCTGATTTACTGTTCAAAGATGCTAACAAAGGCAAAAGTGTTGTATGTACACTTGAAAACATAGTGAAGCTCATCCTTATGGCCACCAATTGAGAAAATACCTGTAGCGGCCAATTATTCTACATAAATCTTTGTGTAGTAGCTAATAGACTTTGTATTAGCCCAGGATTACATTACATCGCTTAGTTCTAGGGAAAGCTCGTTGAGATCAGCAATTGCTGGAATTAGTTTCCAGACCTGATTGATGAAACATTCTTCTTCTCTGATGTTGAATCCTCTGACTTTTGCTTTCAGCTGTCTGTATATACTGTATCATACTGTAGTCTTGAACACTGTTAAGGTTAGGGTATTTTTTCCCCAGTAGACAGGTACTGACTGCTATACCAGTGGTCCCAGGCTGGTGTATAAAGTACAGTTTAGAGAAGAACACAAGGTGGATGTAAAGAGGCGAGGCGCTGTTTAAAAGATCGCATTGGGGTTTTTTTGCACTGCTCAGTTAATTTTTCAGTCTGTCTTATTTGATAATCCTGTCTGCAGAGCCATGCTTAAATGAAGCAGATGCAAGTACTGCCGGGAAGCAAAATGCAGCATTAGGTTCCAGTCAGTTACTAGGATATTGCAGGAAAAGCACAGAACGGTTATCACTATCATCTGATACCCAATCACTTGTTTATTTTGTTTAAATAAAGACTAATCACATAATATCACCTAACCTTTACTGCTCGGTCTCATGGACAAATCCTAAAGTAACGACTGCGTATAGAATGCCAGTTCGGCAAAAGGAAACTTCAGGTTGTCGGCGAGCATTTCACCGAAGCTGAAAAGCACAGTGCGTGCGTACCGCCAGCGAGCTGGTGTCCCTTTCTGCTGCCGTAAGGCCAGGCAGAGCAAGGCTGGATGCAGTGGAAGACCCTGTTTATTTAAGCCGATACTTTGTCAGGTCCCCGCTGTTCTCCTGCAGAAAAGTGATTTTGGGAGGGGGGACAGGAAATGCCTTATGGAAACAGGAAGCCCAAGTGATTCATGTGCTGAGGAATGCTGGGCGGGGGGAACGGGGCAGCGCTCCCTCTGTTTTTAAAGGCACTCTATGAATTGATTTATTGTCAAAGAAAATAACAAAGCGAGTAGGGAAATTGTTAAGGAAGCTTTCCAGTGAAACATTTCCTTCATATTCCCTTTTGATATGTTTACCTTGTTTTATAGGTTTACTTTTGTTAAGCTAGTTAAAGATTCATTGTATTAAGATCCCCTTTAATAAGGATAATCCCAAACTGACCTGGAATCCTTGTCAGGTTTTTTTTTCTATTAAAAATATTTATATTTCTAAAGCTGAGGTATTTTAAGGTGCAGTATCCTATTTCAAAAGAGATAGCTGTTTTGCCAAATGTAGAAATTGTTCTAAAATATGTTATTAGCATGTGTTGTTTACATTATGCTCTAATAATACTGAGTCTCTTATAAAATGTTGGAAGTTCTAAAGATACATTATCCTTTTTCCTAGAAGGTCTCCAGACAAATGACTAAATAGTAGCTATAAAATGAAAGGCCTCCTGAAACATAAAGATCCTCTTAGATAGGAAAGATTTATTAATTGAGAAACGGGTGATTTTTAATGTGTGCTTCATATTTGAACAGAAATCTTTCTCCACTTTGGATGAAAAAAAATCACATCCACATTCAAAAAGCAAAGCATATCAAAATGAAATTACATGGTTTTCCCATTCTGTGTATTTTTAATTTTCTTTGACACGTAATGCCAGCCTCATCCAAAAGGGATAGTGCATCTTTTAAAATACATTTTATTTGGGGAGAATCATGCAAATGAGAAGACTTTTGTACAATATCATTTCAAAGATATGTATTGACAAAGGACAAAGATATTTTTATAATGTCATTCAGTGAGAAACCCCAGTACATTTGTGGGCTTTAATTTCTAATTCTTTCAAATTTGGATAAAATTAAAATAGAGAAACTACCTGGAACCAGTGAAAAAGAAAACTGGGTTTAAAAAACCACACTTCTATTTGGTAATTGTCTCTTACATTTTAAATCTACTGTATTTATTATAATTTACACCCTTAGAGGTGATCTCCTGTTTTGTGTTGTAAATATATTCTGTTTGTATGTTCCCTTTTTTTGCCTTCTGATATAAGTCTCTTCCTTTCTCAAATAAAGTTTTTTTTTAAAAGATCCCCTTTCAGATATCTGACTTTGTGTAAAGTTGATAACTAGTTGCGCTTTTGCTTTGTATAACCCAATATGTTTGCTACACACCGTTGAAACAATTCAGGCCTTCAGGAGCAAGGTTTTTATTCCATGATTCTTACAATGATTACACAAAGTCTTTTTTCAGTCTCTTGTTTTATCCTACATCAGCCATTATAAGTTTTAGTGATTGTGGAAATATTATTGATGCATGCTCATTTTCCCATCATATCATCTGTCTTGAACGTGTGACCATGTATTGAACCACATCCCAAAGGTAAAGGCGAATCCCAGTTTCTTGGCTCCTAATTATCCAAGATTCACATAATGAACCGAAATCCATGACATTTATAATTTCTGCCTAGAACCCTAAAGCTATGGATCTGAAACTGAGCTTATACCAACCTCTTTGATATTCCTCAAGACCTTTGCAAAACTAGAGTCCACCTGTAAATGTGTTGTGGGGGGAGGGAATCTGCAGGCTTTAAAGCAATTGTATGAGGCAGTGAAGTCCTACGAAGATGCTAAATGCTTTAGTGCTTTGTGACGTTTCCTGAACTTTACTTCAGGCCTACAGAGAGAAATAGTTTGTACTACAAACCTATCTTTTGCTGCTGAAGTACATGAAAAAGTTCAGAAAATTGTGATATTCTAGCTCTTCTAATTGTTCATTTAAATGGCAAAGGCTCTTAACAACTCTGATTCTGGTATAATTTTAACTAAAATAAAATGCTTTCAACAATATAAGTATGTAAGAGTAAGTATTTCCGTAAGCCAAATTCAATGAGTTTCACTGATATAAAAGCAAAGTAATGATTCATCAATAATACACCCACAAAAAATAGATAAAATGTCACGGTTTAGCTGAGGAAAGCTTAAAACTAGCATTAATACTATAACATTGTACTGCTTGCCCTATTGTTTATTATGTATTTAGAATCCTGTGTCTAGAAGTAAATCATGCTTTCAACAGGGATTTTATTGAGGTGCCTTTTGTTTAAATACTCATGTTGGACTCAGAAGAGCAGCCTTGAATGTTTTCACTTTACAACATTCCTGTTTTGTAGGCTACATCTGGATTTTTTTCCTAAATTGTTTGTTTACTATGTATCGAAGAACCCATAATGAAAAAAATAATCATAATCTACTACAATTCATAAGCCTTATCTTTCTCCAGGAATTATGTGCATCTCTTTTTTTTAAATAGATGCTTGTTCTGTCCTGTTGTCCAAAAAATAAGACCACTATAGCTACCAATTTAGTAGTAATTACAAATAAATGAGGGGAAAATTCTTCATAATATTTATATACTCAAGACAGACCCACGTTACTGGAATGTGGATATTGTAATGTTAGCCTTTTTTTCATCTTCTGGCATTAACAAAATAGGATTAAAAAACAACTGCCTGAACAAAGCAGGAGCACTCCAGACACTGCCACCACCATCATCCTTTCTATCCAGCAATTCATTCATGCACTATCTTCATTCCATCTTCATTATCGTCAGGATTGCTAAGACTTCTCCATGTTACTCAAGACAACTGTACCCTGTTTTTATCTTCACTGGCATTCTGAGGTAGAAATCTATAAACATTAGTCCCAAGCACCTATCTAAAAATGTTTACTTGCTTCTCCCCCTTACAAATACTTGACAATTTGCAGCCAGAATTAGCTAAGCCGAGTTAATTTCCTTATTGTATTCTGTCCCCCTAGCAGCATGTCCTACTTATCCACTTAAGGGATGTTTGTTTGCTTTTCATTTATTTGTTTAGTTTCTGATTTCCTTATGCAGTTCCCATCAGCTGGGTGGTAACACGGCTTCCGTACCTCATTCCTCGGTGGAGGAATATAGCTTAGAACATCATATGCTGAATTGCTGGTCAGGCAAAGAGAAGAGCATCTTGGATAAAATGAACTTCACTAGGGTAATAATCCAAGTGGCTTTTGTGCAATTTCAACACTCTATTTGGTAGAAACTGTACTTTGCATTTGGTAGATTTTTGTACTTTGCATTTGTTTTTTTTCTCTTCTCATTTGGAATTAAAGGCAAAAAATACAATTAGCTCAAACTGCACAGTGAGTGGGAAGGCTGGGATTCTCAGCCATGCTCACACATGCCCACAAACTGGACTGGGGAGGAGCATCCTTTAGGCATGTCCTAGTTGCTGGTCCCCCTTTACTGAGCTCATATCACACCCTTGCTTATTTTGATTCTGGCCCCATAACTTGTCTAGCCCATCCGGGAGAACTTCCCCAGCTACCTGTGGGCACAGACAGCTGTTGGAGACTGTCCAACAGTCCCCCCCCCCCAAGGGTTACTCTGTCAGCAGCTGAAAGTTAAAAGGGTACTAGCTTAGTAACTTGAAATCATTCTTCAGCAACGTCTAGCTCTCTCTGATAACTACATGGGGGTCACACTAACTAGATTTGTTTTGACAGACCACATACTTACTTATAAGCAATTCAGTGTTTTAATCAGCCGATTAAATGAGATGTTTGGAATCTGGCTGTGGAGCCTTTGTTGGCATTTGTTTTACTTCACGATTCCATAGTTGCCTTGAAGTGATTGATTCTAACGCTACATAAACCTGAAATATGGGGAGGGCGGCTGGAGGATATGCTGTTAAAAGTACCCTTAAAAGTACCCTTCGGCACACTTGGTCCTTCCGAGGTTGTAGCATGTTACAACATACCTGGCCTTGAGAAATGCTTTGAAGGGCAGGAGAAGTGGAAATGTAAGTTTTGAACAATGTCAGACTTCCAAATAAACCTTCCACCTCCTGTCTTCGCTCCCTCAGAATGATGTTGTCACTACTGTCTTATATGTACTAGCTCAATCCACCTTTTTTAGGCTACCTTAGTCATCTCCTTTAACTCCTTAAGCCAGTAAGAGAGGAACTAAACTTGTATTCTTCTGCCCTTCCTCTCGTCTGTGAGTGCACAGACCCAGTACAACCCCTGCATAACACAACCTGGCTCTGTGATTTCTGGCACCAAACTTAAGCCATAGACTGTCTGGATGGAGGGAGCAGGG